TGTTAACAAAAGAACTATAGAACTATGTAAATGTTTTATACTCATTCAAATCTCCTCCATTAAAATGCATTTGTTTTCTATCTATTCCAATCTCCCCCTATTAATATGAGTATATTTTATATCTCTTCAAATCTCCTTCAATAAAATTTGCATGTTTTCTGTCCATTCAAATCTCCTCCATTAATATTTGTATGTTTTCTACACATTCAACTCGCCCCGTATATTTTAACATAACTGTGTGTTTCTTTCTATCCATTCAAATCTCCTACATTAGAATGTGCATGTTTTCTATCCATTCAAATCTCCTCCATTAGAATAAGCATGTTTTCTATCCATTCAACTCTCCTCCATTAAAATATGCATTTTTCTATTCATTCAAATAGCATCTATTAAAATGTGTATGTATTCTACTCATTCAACTCTCCTCCATTATAATGTGTATGTTTTTTACTCATTTAACTCTCCTCCATTATAATGTGTATGTTTTCTACTGATTTAACTCTCCTCCACATATTGTCAGCATTGTCCTCCAGTGCCGGACAAGACATCATGACCATGGGCCCCACGTTGGTCCTGTCTTCATCTCTTTTGATAATCTCAAACAAAGTGTTATCAACTCTACCTTTTCTTATAAGGAAAATCCTGAAATAACCGATATCAACCCTCGGGAGACTTTAGCAAGGTAAAAAATTACCTAATGACTAGATCAATCTTAGTTTATATTACCTAAGGACTAGTTCAATCTTAGTTTATATTACCTAATGACTAGTTCAATCTTAGTTTATATTACCTAATGACTAGTTCAATCTTAGTTTATATTACCTAATGACTAGTTCAATCTTAGTTTATATTACCTAATGACTAGTTCAATCTTAGTTTATATTACCTAATGACTAGTTCAATCTTAGTTTATATTAACTAATGACTAGTTTAATCTTAGTTTACATTACCTCTTGACTAGTTCAATCTAAGTTTATATTACCTAATGACTAGTTCAATCTTAGTTTATAATTACCTCATGACTAGTTCAATCTTAGTTTATATTACCTAATGACTAGTTCAATCTTAGTTTATATTACCTAATACCTAGTTCAATCTAAGTTTATATTACCTAATGACTAGTTCAATCTTAGTTTATATTACCTAATGACTAGTTCAATCTTAGTTTATATTACCTAATGACTAGTTCAATCTTAGTTTATATTACCTAATGACTAGTTCAATCTTAGTTTATATTAACTAATGACTAGTTTAATCTTAGTTTACATTACCTCTTGACTAGTTCAATCTAAGTTTATATTACCTAATGACTAGTTCAATCTTAGTTTATAATTACCTCATGACTAGTTCAATCTTAGTTTATATTACCTAATGACTAGTTCAATCTTAGTTTATATTACCTAATACCTAGTTCAATCTAAGTTTATATTACCTAATGACTAGTTCAATCTTAGTTTATATTACCTAATGACTAGTTCAATCTTAGTTTATATTACCTAATGACTAGTTCAATCTTAGTTTATATTACCTAATGACTAGTTCAATCTTAGTTTATATTACCTAATGACTAGTTCAATCTTAGTTTATATTACCTAATGACTAGTTCAAGCTTAGTTTATATTACCTAATGACTAGTTCAATCTTAGTTTATATTACCTAATGACTAGTTCAATCTTAGTTTATATTACCTAATGACTAGTTCAAGCTTAGTTTATATTACCTAATGACTAGTTCAATCTTAGTTTATATTACCTAATGACTAGTTCAATCTTAGTTTATATTACCTAAGGACTAGTTCAATCTTAGTTTATGTTGCCTGATGACTAGTTCAATCTTAGTTTATATTACCTAATGACTAGTTCAATCTTAGTTTATATTACCTAATGACTAGTTCAATCTTATTTCATATTACCAAATGGCTTGTTCAAACTTAGTTTATATTAACTAATGACTCCTTCAATCTTAGTTCAATGTCAAATTTTTTAATTCTATGAAATTGTCTTGTCCCAAATGCATTAGCTGGTAACTTGTATTTGTCCGTTACTTTGCCTATACTATATGTATGTTACATAGCATGTGTATACTATGGCATTTGAGTAAGTTTCAATCGTCAACTTTTTTTTTTTTAAATTATCGTTTTGCAGAAAACTAGCACTGGAAAATTAATATAAATAAACCATAACAAATGTTACGTTGGTTAGTTTATTTTAATTAAATAATCAATGAATTGAATTAATGTTAATATATATTCATCTATTGAAATAATGCGTCCATTCAATATATTATTTTCTCCTGAAAATATTCATCTTTTCAAATATGTATCTATTCGAGCTCTTCAATTATTAACAACGTTCCAACTTTTTACATCGATGCGTATCTAACGTGTCACTCTAAAGTCTAGTCACTTGTACAATCTGTTCACCTGTAGACTCTACTTACTTAGTGAAGTTATTTATCTAGTCATTAGCGATGCTGTTCATCTACTCAAATAGTGAAGCCATTCATCTGCTCTATCAGTTAATCTATTCATCTATTAACTCAGCGAAGCTGTTCATATACTCACTTAGTAAAGCTATTCATCTACCGACTAAGTGAGATTGTTCATCTACTCACTAAGTGAAGCTTTTCATCTACTCACTTAGTCAAGCTGCTCATCTACTCTTTAAGTGAAGCCGTTCATCTATTCACTTAGTAAAGCTACTCATCTACTCACTTAATAAAGCTATTCATCTACTTATTTTGTGAAGCTATTCATCTACTTACTTTGTGAAGCAATTCATCAGTTCACTAAGTGAAGCTGTTCATCTATTCAAACTCTATAACTTTCAGTGGTGGGATCAACATGACAGTGACTGGTTCTCACCTCGATAGTGCTGCGTGTGCCCAGGTTGTCTTTATCTACGAGAATCAGGTACGTTTGTAAACAAATGGAGACTCTTGCTACCTGGCTGAACGCTTCTTTCTTTTAACTCTCCTCAAAACCTGACGAGTATTTTCTTTTATGAATAGGCCTATAGATTGAAATTGGACTATGTTACCGAAAATTTTCCAGCAATGTCTAAACCACACACATATGTGTTTCCTCAAATCAGGTATAGAACTAAAATCACACGATGTAACGGTCTGGCAACAGTTGAACGTTTAAATTCATAGTTTAGCCAAATAACAAAAACTAAACTTAAGTAGGTTCATGGTACTCTAGAGACTCCTCATTCTAATGATCATATTTGGGGTTTTGATATCAATGTTCATCTAAGAATAAAGAACATACTACTTACATGATGACATTCAAATTTTGCAAAGTATTTCGTAAATAATTAGCTATGATTGCTTCCCCCTAGCGGAAATGTCAACTCTTTATTGATTATTATTGATACGGCAACGCTTAATGATTTATTTTTTTCCCAACAATTTCTCTTGATAATTGATTCAAAACTCACATTCGAAAATGAAAGCGAATTGTGGTGTGACATCTGCGATAAGTTACATTTAACTGTAATTGTACGGTGAATAATAAATAAAATGGCCACCGACAAAGACCTATACAAACCATCTTATTTTGGTTGAGGTTTGTTTTGTCAATACCCTCGATGCGTGTGTGCACCGTAAAATATCAGCATTTTTTCCATTCATGCATTCACATAATATTAATATTTTTTGACTTTATTTAAAGAAATAAATCTATTAAAGTTGTAAGATATTAAAAGATAGAAACCGCTTTCCCATTTCAATTCTCAACAATTTTTTTTACAGATCAGTTTTGGGAAATGTAGCAGCAGCAGATCAACATTAAGGGTCACATGTAAGGCGCCAGATATGTCAGACATCACTCAAGAATACTTTGGGAACCATATTGTCCAATTTGTTATAGCAGAACTCAACATCGAAATGGACAACAACCGATTGGTTCCCTCAAAGAAACCTCAAACAGTCAAAATTTACCGCGATCCGATTTTTACACCCATCTCTTCTACGAACATTAGTCTTTCTGAGCGTAACCCTGTGCTCGTGCTTAAGGTATTTTTCAACGTATCTCTTTGGGTATTCCTAGTCTTTCTTATGGGAACCCTATACCTTTTTCAAAAGTATTTACAATTTAAGATTGTTGCACATTTCCTCTTCACTCCTCCACTATCTCTCGTGTCCTTTCTTCCCCACAATCCCGTCTCCTTACATTCCTGAACCAGAGCAACTCATTGGGGTCAAAATAAAAGTTGTTGTATTTTTAGAGTAAAGTAGTTATACTCTTTCACTTAAACATCAGATTGACAAAATTCTCTTTATCTTAATCTTCTTTGTTGTTCAGTCAGCAGTAGTTTAACTCACGACGGGTGGCCTGACCTGGGGTTAGTTTGAGTTGGACCAGAAGTTCTCTGTTGCGAACATTTCGCAGTTTAGGCTACCATTACGGACACAGCTGAAACAAAAACCACGGATTTACACATTTCTTTTGTCTTTTCAATCCTGTCATTGTGAAACTGTTTGTTACACACGTTGGGGCTGACCGTGTGGAGACAGATGATCAACTTTATTGTCTGTAGTCATTTAAAGTAGTTCAGAATTATAAACATAGTTTTTTTTTTAAAAACAAAATTGTTGATGAAGTCTATTCTGGTCGTCTGCCCTATGCCCCATTTCATTCCTATTCATTTTTCTTCACCAGGGCACGTACATGCCTACATTTATAAATAAGCAAGAAATCAAAGTGACGTTCGGGGGCAAACCTTGTCCAGTTGTAGCGGTGAATGAAGGTGACATCCAGTGTGATGCCAGTGAGGTCATTAAACAAGTCAAAGCAGGCGATAAACTGGCTGATAAAAGCCAGCAGTCGAAATTGAGGAACAGCAGTGGCACAACTAGTTCTGTACCTAAAACTACAACACATGAAACTGTGACTAGTGGTGGTTACGTTCGTAATTTGGCCTTAAACTATACCCCCCAATCCCAAAGTGCCAGCACGACGTCCCCAACAACGCACTACCTTCCAAGTGGACCGAACGATCAAAATCAGATCCCTGAATACGGCGTGACGGTCGAGATCGGCAACTTTAAGGCTGACCTTGGGTCAGTGCGAGTGGTGTTGGATAAAGAGGGCGACTCTTTTAAGTCCTTCATGTCTGGGGTCGCAGGAGGAGCTGGTCTGGTCACCTTGATTCTAATTATAGTAACAGTGACGCTAGTTATGAAGGTGAAAAAAGCGAAAATGCTGAAAAATGAGCCATCATCACTAATAGCCTTAGCTGAAGCCCAGTCAGGTAGTTATTCTAGTATATAATTATAGTAATTTTACCTTTATTTTAATCCATTGATAGATGATTATCATAAAATTCATTGAATACATAATCAATTTTCTTTTTAAGGTTTGCTGGTTCGTGTGCACACATTTACAGCATCAATCAATTTTTGGCGGGGCAAAATTTTATACAAGACAAACCACATTGGAAATTATATAAATTCACTTAAAAGAAACAAATATTGATTGTGCAAATAAAGAAATGAACTGTAAGAAATAATTTTATTCCCGTCCGTGGGTCAAGCAACAAATTATGTCAACACATCCACTACAAATAGATGGTCCTCATTTGATTTATTTCTGGGGATACTCTGGAGCGCGTAAGTTGTTTTTCGCACGCCCGTAAAGGTTTCAGAATTAGGTTATCCATTTCGAAATATTCCTTGATGGGCCGGGGGGCCCTTATTTTATTTTCTAATATGAGCTATATAATTATAATTGCAAATAGAGCTATTGTGTGGGTGGATGGAATTGAATCTAATACATTAGCGACATTTCAGATTGTTTCAGACATAATAAACAGATTTCTGGATTAGTACAATCATTTTACAATCTCGATTTTGAGGCCGGGGGCCTTAATTTATTATTTTTACTTTTATTATGTGAGCTATATAAATATAATTTGAAACAGAACGACTGCATGGGTGGAGGGATTTATTGTAATACAAGTAGCGACATTTCAGTTTGGATGTGATGTAATCAGTAGGTTTCTGAATTAATACAATCATTTTAAAATTTTTCTTTGAGGCCGGGGACACTAATGTTTAAATTGTTTTTTTTTTATTATGTGAGCTATATAATAAATATATAATTCCATGAATGCATCAATCGCTACAAGTCTGGCAACTAAATTTTGAAAATGCATGCCTCTCATGTAGGAAAAACTTCTAATTTATTTGTGTACGCACCAGACGGAAAAAAATAAAAATAACTTCTATTTAAAAATTACTTCAAAAACTTAATTAAAATAAAAAACGATTTTGTTCTCTGAGTGTCATTGCAACGCATGCCGGGTTCTGGCTAGTATGATATAAACACATATTTTGAATCCTGTAGGGGCATTTGACCCCCCCCCCGTCCCCTGGACAGATCCCTGAAAGAAACGCTGGCTGGGTGGCGGACTGGAAGAATCTCCGGACGGCTTATTTACCCATTTTCCATCACCCTATCGAGCTGAAACTTGGCACATAGACTCGTTGTAACGCCAACACACGGTATCAGTTTTTTTAGATCCAAAACCGACCATCAAACCCTAAATCCCAAAAATCAAGATAAAATAAAATTCTCGATAACTGGGCAAAATAAGATTCTTTCTTTTTTTTTTAAATTTGCAAATAGTTTGGTGCGTAATATTTTCTTTTGTTTTTCTAAAATTTTTGGTGAAATAAATCTGCGGTGTAAAAGGTTGTGGGTCATAAGAGTTTTAGTATATGTCAGGGACATGAAAAAAATGTGCTTTTGCGAGCCTTCTTATAATTTGCTTTTACTTCTCTGCATGTATTGTCAAATTTTAAGCTCCGCCCTTTTTTTGCAAGATGTTCTATTTTGTAAAGCATTTACAAGAAAATCTTGAGTTTCAGGAGTTGTGTAATTCTAAACTTAACTCCATCATAAAAGTAATTCTATTATTCCAACACCTCCCAAGAATCGTGGTCGTTGACATTTTCCGTAACTGAAATAGGGTTGAGCTGACCTAGTCGTGTACATCCGATTTCACGCACTGTTCAGATTTTATGAAGAATTCCTGAAAATACCTACTAACTCAGATAATTCATCCATACGAAACTTGTTATTTTCTAAAAAGTTCGGCTATTCAGAGATTTTAACAAATTGTTTCTACATGTATTTCAATTAAGTCAATACCTGTATAATCGTGTTAAATATTTTTAAATATGTTCAATTTATAAGCTAATTTGCTCTAATGCAGTGTTCTTTAAAATTTTTCTTTACTCAAGGAACACATAGCGCAATGCCAGTAAAACGTATCATATAGCTGTTTCATAATTGGACTGTTATTTGCTTAACAACGCGATCAGACCTTCTAGCTTATTGTTTATGATAAAAATATCAGAAGGCTAGAAATTCAATCCATTTTTGAAATATTAATTATTTATGTTCGTTTATTCATTGCTGACGTTTCTTGTTTACAGATTCCAGCATAGTAAGGAAAATAAATTAAATTAACCGTACGTTGCATCCTGATATAACTACTATATAGGTCTCAAGGATTAGCTACTTATATAAAATATTTTTTTTTAATGTTCATATTAGATCTAATTAATAACATATTACAAATCGACTCCGCATTTTGATATGGCTCCAAGTTCTCTGTACTCTATCACAGACGAAGAGATGATATAATATAATGCTGGTATTAACTTTATATTTGCTCTGTTGTTTTTTTTCAAAGTTGTTAAACCTTGATGGAAGGATTTAACAAACTTGCTCGTTGTCTTAATTCAACTTTTCACATAACCCTCAAATTTACTTTACTCTCATCCACTCTGTCAGCACATAACGTCTGTCACCCACAAGCCACCATTTGAAAACAATCCAAGTATAAATGTTCAATTGGGGTTTTTCATCTTTACTTCTTTCTTTTGACCCTTCGATTATTTGCTAGATAAATATATGTAAACAAAATGTCTTTTTTAAAATGACCTCACTACAGCCACGTTCTGATCAGATGATTTCCAAACCAGTGGATCCCATTTTGTGGGCTCGCAAAAGGCTCGGGTTCTCTAGGCATGTCATTCATTTATTTTTAGTGTAATCGGGCGCTGTTGCTCTCATTTAAATTGGAGTGTGCAAACAATAAAAGACTCATCTTGGCAAATGTAGCAGTGCTTGGAGGGACTGCACATTATAGGGGGGCCCACGCATTATAGGGGGCAAACGCATTACAGGGGTCAAACGCATTATAGGGGTCAAACGCATTATAGGGGTCAAACGCATTATAGGGGTCAAACGCATTATAGGGGTCAAACGCATTATAGGGGTCAAACGCATTACAGGGGTCAAACGCATTATAGGGGTCAAACGCATTATAAGGGTCAAACGCATTATATTGGTCAAACGCATTATAAGGATCAAACGCATTATAGGGATCAAAGGCATTATAGGGGTCAAACGCATTATAGGGGTCAAACGCATTATAGGGGTCAAACACATTACAGGGGTCAAACGCATTATAGGGGTCAAACGCATTATAAGGGTCAAACGCATTATAGGGATCAAAGGCATTATAGGGGTCAAACGCATTACAGGGATCAAAGGCATTATAGGGGTCAAACGCATTATATGGGTCAAACGCATTATATTGGTCAAACGCATTATAGGGGTCAAACGCATTATAGGGGTCAAACGCATTATAGGGGTCAAACGCATTATAGGGGGGCCACGACAAAGGACCCAAAAATGAGTAGTCTAAGAAAATCGACATGCATGGCCATATCCTCTTTTTAAAAGGAGACACATGTCTGAATGGACGTTCAGTATCAGTGCCTTAACTCCCCGCGCAGGGCCTCGCCGTGGTGCGTCCATCTTCTGACTGAGCATTTGTAAGTTGTCTCGGTGAATTCCCGACGAAACACAAACACGCGTTATCTCATTAAACCTTTTCACATCCCAAAAACTCTCCTTGGATCCATTGGATCTCTAGATCCAGGCACGTCACATGGCCCAAAATTTGTTTCTATTACTGTTCACAATCTCCTTACAACGTCTATCAAAAAAATTCTAAAGAATCTAAATCCTAGAATCATGAAAATAGTCGATCACATCACTGAAGTTCTTATTTCGGAAAAAGTTTGAAAAGGGACTAAATAAAAAAGAATTTCTCATTGATTCAGAGCGCAAAGACACGTTTTAAAATTGGTTTTCTCCTGAGCTTTATTTATTCAGGAGTAGCAGGGACGTGGGATTTAGGCCTGGTCCTAGGCTAATATGCTGGGTTAGGGCCAAGAAAATAAATCCCACTGGCCAAATAAGTAATTTTAGCTAAATAAATTCCTTTTAAATATATGATTTATTGATTTTCAAATTTAAAATATTGAATTATTTAAAATGTGGAAAAGTTGTATTGCATTTTATTCAGACTCGGACACAGAAGTGATGGATATGACATTGATTATAAGAGATATTTCCGCGGGGGCTCCCAAAGTATTAACTACCTAGAGACCTCATCAGGGCCTAATCCACCAATGATTAAGACTGACGTAGTCTAAATAAATACCACAGGATCTGAAGGCATGCTTCAGCCGTAACAATTTCCCATTTATTTTGAAGGAAGTGACGTAACGACTAAACCCAACCTTAAACAGATTCTAGATTCTGTTGTAGAGATGGGCAATAAATTGAAAATGGACAATCTCATTGTCAGTTTGGATCAACTCATAATCGGCAGAACAATTGGAACTGGTGAGATGAGGAAACGTTATGTTCTTTTTAAAAGTTAAAACATGTTTTATAGCAAAAAACAACTCCAAAATGAGATTCTTCAGTTTCTGAAGATGAATTTTCTTTTACATTGATATTGTAATTAGTTATAACATTATTTTATCATGAGTCATTGGAGCTATTTTTTTTTTTTTTTTTTTTTTTAAATCTCTTTATTTGTGATTTAAACAGAAATGTTAGAGCATCCATGTGAGTCACATCGAGAGCTTATTTATTTTTTAAATGGTTTAAACATTCATTGTAATATTGAGATTTAAATTTTATCAAAATTAATATTTCTGATCACCTTAGGTCATTTCAGTCTGGTGTACGAAGGTCTCTTGATGAGAGGATCAGGTCAACCACCTCAACAAGTAGCCGTTAAAGCTCTCAAAGGTCAACTGTTGTAGATCATCTAGATTGATATTTTTTTTAAAATGTATTTCATATGTAAAAAAACCACAACCATATATTTAATGTCTTGAGATTAATTTTTGTGTTTTTAATTAAGACGAAATTGGGGTGAGAGGTGGGCTGCTAGAGGGGGGGAGGGGGCAGAATAAAAGAGTTTTAGATGATAAAAATTGAAAACAAAATAGTTAAACGAAAAAGACTCATTTAAAAAATTTATTCACTGTTAAAAAATTGTGTAACGTGCAAATGATATAGTGTGGAAAAGGTGTTTTTTCTCCAAATATTTGACATTAAAAAAATTCATGTCAAAAGATCCCATTGCTCACAACATCGACCTAGTCGGCCTTGTCGAAGAAGCTGTCATCATGAGAGAATTCAAGCATCCAAATGTACTCGGTCTGATTGGACTGGCGGAGAAAGAACCAGGAGTCCCATACGTCATTCTGCCCTTTATGGAGAATCATGACCTTTTGACCTTCGTGCGTGACATCTCAGTGGTATGTATAATGAGTTTAAATAGTTTCTAATTTTTAACACGCGTAATTCGTTGGGAACATTTGACATTACTTTCTCAACGAAAAACAGTTCTAACGTCATGTCTGACTTTCCCACATTTAAGTGTCCAAAATCTCTCTTTGACAGTTCAATTCTCCCATCCATAATTATTAAAATTTTAAAACAGTTATTTTGTTCTATGTTAATTATTGCATTTGTTTTAATGTACAAGATGAAAGACATAAAGACATCTAAATATATTAAAAAAACAATTTACTGTAAAATCAAAGTAGATCGTGTTATAATATAATTCTCTATTTTAAGATGCTTTGTTCTTCTAGTTTGCCTCATATCAAGTAAAAATGATAGGCCCTGCTTAAGGGAATCATCCTAATAAATCTCACTGTTTGCAGTTGACAACACTGATCCAGAACATACTCAAATATTTCTTAGTATATCTGTCTTCGCTACCAATTTAATGTCATACTTTTTGTCTGCTAACTAGACTCTAACCTTACATGACGTCATTAAATATGGAGCGGACATAGCGAATGGCATGGCCTACCTCAGCCAACTCAGATGTGTCCATCGCGATCTATCAGCCAGGAATTGCATGTGAGTATGTATTATACAAACAGAAATTGTATTTGAGTACATTTTATACAATTTAAATTTATAAAATGGCTTGTTTTTATTCACTTACCCATAAGTACATCAGTTGCTAGGATCACACATACTTTCACATTTTTCATTGGTACCATCATCTGCTGTAACTTGTAGGTAATTTTTTTTTTAAAAAGTCGCCCCTAGCTCGAGAAGATCGCTACTTGTTCATGGTCAACCATGTCGTCTATAGTTGTTGTTTTTTTTAATGTATTAACCATAATATTATTTACTTAGTTATACAATCAATGTGCTTTGTAGAAGTAACTTGCAATGTCTGGTGAAGATTATTGATCGGTTCATGAAGAAGATAGTTTGTTTTTAAAATGTCTTCATTAATTGATAAATATACGTTTAAATTGTGATCATAATAGTCCATGTGATACTTAGAATTTGGGAAAAATCTATGTTTCAAGGTACCAAATCAGGAGCAACAATATCTTGTAAAAGTATTTTTTAAAAAAATTCACATTACAAATTAACTTAAAGTAGTAGATTTTTAATTAATGACATGATCCTCATTTTTTAAAAAGAAATATACAAATTTACTAATGCATGTAATCGAAGAGGTTAACACAAGCCTAAATTTTTTTAGAGTCTTAAGATTTCCTTTCTTCAATTTCATTTACATTTCCAGGCTTGACCTCAATCACAAAGTCAAGGTCGCTGATTTTGGTCTATGTCGGGATGTCTATGAAAGGGGCTACTACAAATGTGACCAGAAGCAAAAACTGCCAATACGATGGATGGCCATTGAGAGTATTGCAGTAGGATCCTACAGTTCAAAGTCAGATGTGGTGAGTCATAGTCATGTGTGGTGAGTCTTTGTCAATGTGGACAGTCTTAGTTATATGTCGCGAGACTTAGCAAGATCTGGAGTATGTTAGATGTGGTGAATGTTATCAAATTTGGTCAGTCTAATTTAGAAGAAGTGCTTAGTCAGATGTGGTGTGTCTTAGTCAAAAATAGAAATTTTCTTCTTTCATTTAAATGATAATTTTCTGTTCTGGGCTAAAACATGGATTGTAAAGTGTTTACCAAATTAAATAGGAGTAAAGTTTTTGTAACAGTGGTCCTGTAGAAATGTTTCCTCTTACAGTGGTCCTCTAGTATTGTTTCACATTACAGCTGTCCTGTAGTATAGTTTAATGTTACAGTGGTTATATATTATAGTTTCATGTTACAGCTATTCTGTAATATAGTTTAATTTTACAGTAGTTATGTATTATAGTTTCTTGTTACAGTTGTCCTATAGTATAGTTTCATGTTACAGTTGTCCTGTATTATAGTTTCATGTTGCAGTGGTCGTATGGTGTGGTGCTGTGGGAGATGTTGACACGAGGAATGATTCCCTACCCCTGTGTAGACGGATGGGAAGTCATTAAATACTTAAAACATCATAGACTAGAACAGCCTCATTTCTGTCCAGATGATGTGTAAGTACCATGAAAGAGTGCTGTAAATATACAGTGAATAGGTGTTCTAAAAGCACTGCTTTAGAAATGACGTGTTGAGTGCCGTAAAAGTACAATGTATAAATATTTTTAAAGTATACATAGTTATGTATAAGTCCATGTATAGTACTGTATAAGTAAAAAGTATAATGATGTTATAGTACAGGATAAATTGTTATAAAATTACCATGTATCATGCTGTAAAAGTTTCATGTATAATGCATTAATAACAAAATTGTATGGAAATTATTTTATTTTAACATTAATATTTTTAGAAAATGGAATGAGCAGTTTTGGCACAAATTTGAAGAAAAAAAAGTCAATTTCGCCACAAAAAATAAAAATAAACTAGATATACTCTATTTCCAAATATTAGACTAGAATTAATTTATTTTTTCATGGGCAAAATAGACGAGCTATAAACGATTTTTAAATGTATCAATTCAAATTAGACTTTCCTGACTGATATTAAATCTTTCATTAGTAAATTCAAACATCTGCATAAAGAAGTTACTAAATTTAAAAGACGTGACATGAGAGCAATGAAATGAATTATAATCTATGTATTACCTGCTCAGGTATGGACACATGATGAGTTGCTGGGATGAAGATCCAGACAAAAGACCAAGTTTCGAAGCCTTGCAAACTGAGTTGTTGCAGTTGATTGGTGGAGGACTACACGTTTCTTCAGTCTCTTCAATAACAACAGATCCAAACTATGACGTCTGTCTGTCAGTTGATGAACAAACAGCAGGGTTCTCAAATTATCAAAACGCTTCCACGATTCCGTTAGAAATCTCTAAACAAAACACCAAAGGGCGTGACCAAGTCAGGGCTTATGTCAATGATGAAATTGGGGTTATGCCCATTTTTAATTTTTCCGAAAGAAAGACCATCCTGAATGTCTTTATCACAATACCAGCATGTTACTCTCAAAAAGATCGATCAGAACCTATGCCAGTGGCTCAATCTCACCAAGGTTTACATAGACATTTTTCTTAACTCAGAGGAGAAGACACAGAATATGACTAGAACAGGGCTGTGTGGGGCATGCAACAATAAGTTCTGTTTGATTGTATGTAAACAATGATATGAAGAAAAATATGAGACAAAATGTTCATGTAATCTTGTGTTGATATTTACTATCTACGTCCTATGGTAAAACATATGCAAGTTTTAAAACAATTTAAACCTCAGTTTTGTTTCCCAGCGCATGAACATTTCGAATAAATAGTGATCTAAATCTTTACCGTATTCTTCTTTATAAGCACTCTTATATTTCTTCCACTAATATTGATGTCTACTTGGTTAATAATGATTTCTGATTGCCGGCTTTCATAAAATTATCATTATTTTATATTAAATTTTGTCTTTCTTTTTCATTGTTGAAAATCAAATTTAACCTGACTAGATCAAGTGACTTTGCTGTATTCAATATCGAGGAACAGAGACGGGCGTTGGAAAATTTTACTGAAAAATGAATTTTTAAATTATGCTTAAGATTGTGAAAATACGAACAGTAACAACTTTCTCAGATTAAGTCTGTTCTTAAAAATATATGTTGACCGTAAATCTTTCTAAGATTAAGTCTGTTCTTAAAGATATATGTTGACCGTAACATCTTTCTAAGATTAAGTCTGTTCATAAAAATATATGTTGACCGTAACATCTTTCTAAGATTAAGTCTGTTCTTAAAATATATGTTGACCGTAACATCTTTCTAAGATTAAGTCTGTTCTTAAAAATATATGTTGACCGTAACATCTTTCTAAGATTAAGTCTGTTCTTAAAAATATATGTTGACCGTAACATCTTTCTAAGATTAAGTCTGTTCTTAAAATATATGTTGACCGTAACATCGTTCTAAGGTTAAGTCTGTTCTTAAAATATATGTTGACCGTAACATCTTTCTAAGATTAAGTCTGTTCTTAAAAATATATGTTGACCGTAACATCTTTCTAGGATTAAGTCTGTTCTTAAAATATATGTTGACCGTAACATCTTTCTAAGATTAAGTCTGTTCTTAAAAATATATGTTGACCGTAACATCTTTCTAGGATTAAGTCTGTTCTTAAAAATATATGTTGACCGTAAATCGTTCTAAGATTAAGTCTGTTCTTAAAATATATGTTGACCGTAACATCTTTCTAAGATTAAGTCTGTTCTTAAAAATATATGTTGACCGTAACATCTTTCTAGGATTAAGTCTGTTCTTAAAAATATATGTTGACCGTAAATCGTTCTAAGATTAAGTCTGTTCTTAAAATATATGTTGACCGTAACATCTTTCTAAGATTAAGTCTGTTCTTAAAAATATATGTTGACCGTAACATCTTTCTAGGATTAAGTCTGTTCTTAAAAATATATGTTGACCGTAACATCTTTCTAAGATTAAGTCTGTTCATAAAAATGCATGTTATCAGTAAAATCTTTCGCAGAAACGTTAACTTTTGTATTTTGTTAAATCATCATAAAGCTGAATATACATTGTCTTATTTACACAAATTGTGTGTGCCTAATTGAAGGACAACTGAAAGGGCTTTCGGGATAAATGCCGTCTTCAACAGACAAGACAATACAGTGAAAATAAAAATTCAACACAAATTATTGACGCCCAAATAGCGCGATTTTTAAATACAAAAGTATTTTGTTAACTTTTGGTATATTGAGATATGTTGTGGTTATGCCACTAAAGTTTATTATTAATGGTGATATCTAGGTCCGTCTTCATCAACATTTTTATGCCATGCCCCGCTAAACCTTTCTAAACTTCGTCTCAAGTCTTCCCGCTGTTAAACTTACAGCTGATTTTTTGTTACAATCAATCATTCATTGCACTAAATCCACGTTTCGCTAAATATGGAGATGGAAACGGTAACAATATTTTCTTGCACATTTGGTTGAATTTGGATATATTTGATTTCTGTTTCCTCACAAAGCCATGGCATCGTCCCTTTTATGTTAAATAAAGTTTTACTGACTCAACATGTTGTATTTTTTCGATAACTTCTTGATTTTGCATTTTTGAAATATCAGCCAACTTAGCTAACATTAGCTGCATCATCCACGTCGGAAAATGAAATTGTTTTAAATCACAAAATATTTCATCCAAATCAGCTGACAAAATCTGCAAATGATCGACAGTAAAAAAAAATTGCAGTATCAGTCACTTCACGATTTGGGAGCAATGAAACATTTCAAAAAAAATTTTGTTACAAATATATTTCTTACATAATTCAATAAATGTACTGAAATTAAAGATTGTGTCTTTTGCATAGACAAGAGTTTTATTTGCTACTTGAGTTTTGTTAGTTTACATCTTTAGTTTTGAAAAAGATATCGGCTTAATAACGCAAAAATGCTTTACCATCAACTGATAACACATATTTCATTTCGTGTTTCTCACTTAAAATGTCCCCTAGAGTGGACAAAATGTTCTTTTACGCGCTGTGAGAAATTAATCTCTTGTCACACAGTGCACCACAAAGGACGATACCATAGAGAAATAGAGAAACAAAGTTACGACACGCAAAAACAGTTTCGAATTACAATTAGTACGATTTAATTTAGTAAGAATACAATTACAAAACAAAAGAAATATATTTACAAATCATCAGCTTACAGAGTATGTAAAAATCTTGTACCGGTACACAGTTGTTAGTACAGTTAAAAATGATCAATGATCAATGCGAATAAACACATATGAGAACACACAGAAAAATACCATTATCTCGTAAAGTTGGTAATATCTATCTTAATCTCTCTCTGTCTCTCTCTTTCGTGTCTATCAATCCCTTTATATATGAAGCGTAAGCCCTGCATTCCAAAAGCTACTCAGCATATGTTTACATTTCTAGAACAACTCGAGATCATTTGACATACTAACCATGTTTAATAGGTTGTCGATGGTAAACACGATAAATCAAAGACTAAGCCCCGCCCACAACATACGCTACCGTCTGCTCGGAATCTATTGTGGGGTGAAACACATTAGATTGAGCACGGGGAAAAGTGTACTAAATAACAGTCCCATAAATCTCTTCCAGCTGTTCCCTTTCGAGAGCCACTATATCTCAATTCCTGCAACCGAACCCATCTCTGGTCGTCTTGACGTACAGTCCTGCCACTGGATATAGTGGGCTCGGAAGATAGAGTGAGGTAGACGCCGCGCAACTCTTCCTCACTTTAAACAAAGTCACCCGCGCAAGTCATCAGTCACCAGACGACTCGATGGTCCTCGTCGATCCTCGACGGACTAACAATAATATATCTCAATATTAAAAGAAACAATGAAACAAATTCTTAAAAATAAATACTTAATTTCTCAAAAAAATTAAACAGCCCACCCCCATGGTACCATGTAACACTCTTCTAGAGTCGGTCTGCAGAGTTAACTAGTACCGTGCCTCTAGAGCCATTCAAACATGTTTCGTATAATGACAACATCTGTTCTTGAGTCTTCAATTGCTAATTCAATTTGAGTGGCAGTCTCTTCATCTGATTCGTCTGCCATATTATGTTCACTAGCAGGAATATTGCAATGGACGACCTATTGTTTTTTTATTGCCGTCTGTGATGGGAAATATTTACCGCAGAAACATATTCTCTTGGAAATTCTTCCAGCCACCGATGGACAATAGAGATAAAAAGGCATGCTACTATGACTGTCCATTTTCAAAAAGTCCCTTAAAACCCATCTGTTTAGGTCCGCCTATGACCTGTGATGCACCCTCCTTGCCCTGCGTCATTTTCTGTCTCGGATTAATCCTGTAGTATAGGCCAAAACGTGCCAAACATTTTATAGCCATTTTAATTGTTTCTATAGTATAGTAGTTACTATCCTAGTGTTTCATTTTTATTTTACTTAGTTTACATGTTTTTAATAAGTGTAAAGCACGTAGAGCTTTATGGTAAGCGCTATATAAAAATGCCTAAATAAATTTATAAATAAATATTATGAGTTCAGTACCCTACAGTATTTTAATATGGATAATACAGTGTATACGTACTAAGTTTGGTCAAGATCCGTCTACTGATCTAGGAGTATTTGTTGTTAATTTTATTTTTATAGCTTATATAAGTAAAAAAAAAGAATTTGGGGTTAGAGTTTCTTCTGGATACTGATGAATTTTGGGCCAAATTTGGCCAAGATCGATCAATCCATGTAAAAAAAAACTTTGTGGAACAAACAAATAAATAAATAAATCCACACACAAAGTTTCACTTATATATATATATATATTATATGAAATGATTAATCAACAACTTGAAATCAGGTGACCTTATGACAAAGGTAATTGTTGAATATTGGTTTTCACTAGTAATTGTTGGGCACTGGATATTGTGTTTTATTGCGCGGTGTGCCTGGCTTAGAACTTAGGCTACTTGAATAAGTTGCTTTAGTGGTTGTGACTTATTGTGATGGTTTTTGTAACCACGTGTCTATAGCATGTCTTCGAAAAGTATGGTGAGCTTGGGACTATAGTCTGTCTTCGAAAAGTATGGTTCTTGGGACTATAGTCTGTCTTCGAAAAGTATGGTTCTTGGGACTATAGCCTGTCTCCTGGGTGAGTTTAGAGAAATGTTAAAAGTCATACTGAAGACAACCTCCCAGGTCTGAAAGTAAATGTTACAAGTAACCGACACATTTCAAAACGCTATCATAAAATCTCATTTCGTTATCCTAATTAATATTATTTAAAATCCTGACGTCTGTCCAGATGATCAAGCTCAGCAAGAATGTGAGCTACTTTGCTTTCGAAAACATTACCCCCAAAAAAGTATCTGGTTGTTGAGGCAATGGATACACTGATGGAAGAACGGTAACTATGTTGCTTCCTGTGATGTGGCTACAGACGTCCAACAACTGCAGGCTGGTTTGATCCATAAAGATCTTATTGCTAAAAGACAAAGACTTAGCACGATAAACAATGTGAGTCACGTTTGGCCGCAGAACACATCTGCTTATAAACAATATTTAAATATATTAGATATATTCAGTGGCGTAGCAGGATTGGTGTCACCCAGTGCGGTAAACTCATGGCATCCCCCCCCCCCCCCCACCTTTATATTATAGGGTAAGTTGGAATTAA